CGCGAACCAGCTTTAAACAGTCAGTTCTATTTCCACCGATCACAATACCCCACATGCATAACATAGCCATTTTTGTAAGGAAACAAAGTGGAATTACCCTAAGGGTGCAAGTGTGCAAGTGCATTAGATTTACATGCATTGTTTATCTTGAATTAGGGTTTGCTACTTGTTGGTTTTAGTCTTGCCATACAAACCCTAATTACTAGCATTTATATAAAGCGATAAATTCCGGAAAGTAAAATTACTACGCTATTACATCATTAGGGGAGGCGGTATACAAATTTACAAATGGGGATTTGCAAGAAAATTAAACCTAATTATCTATTACAACCATATTGAATATTGTACAAGAATTGAAAAGAAAATAATGCAAGAATGCAAATGGAAAACGAAATGATTTTTGTTTGGTTTTCACGAAAGGGTTTTAACCTAATTAAAGAAAATGATTAATTAAAATTAAACTTAAACTAATTAAGAAATAAATTAAGTTAAAACATTTTTTAGGGTTTTTTATATGGAAAGTTTTAAGTTAATAAAAATAATATGAAATTAATTAACTAAAAGAAAACTAAATTCTAAGTTAATTTTAATTAAAAAAGAAATAAAATAATAATTAAACCTAAGTCTAAATATTAATTAATTAAGAAAAAAAGAAATTAATTTATTAAGCAAATATTTTTAGTCTTTTTTTGTTTTATAAAGAAAATAAAATAAGTAAGTGTGAAAATAATAATAAAAATATTTTTGGATTTTTTATTAATAAAAATAAAAATAATATTAATAATAATAATAATAATAATAATAATAATAAATAAAATAAAGAAAAATGAAAATATAATGTAAAATACAAAAGAAAATAAATAAAATGAAAAATAAAATAAAAATGATTTGGGTCAGGTGTATGAAAATTGGCAGGGGGGTTAGAAATCAGCAAAAATAACAAGGCCCGTTGCTTGGAGGCCCAGGCGTTGGCTGTGTGACAAAAAGAAAGAAAACATGTGAAAAATAAGAAAAGTGGCAGCGCTGGGGCTTGAACCCATGCCCTGAGCATGAAACACGCGTTGTCTTACCACTGGGGTGGCTATACATCCGTTAACTTAAATGAAATAATAAATACATAACATAAGTCATGTCCTGAATATGACTTCATCTTTAACCTCCATCCAGAACATCTGCAACTTCATCATTTCTCAACAAAAATGAAATATGCAAACATGAAAGTTGTTTCATTTTTCTATATGAATTCAATCATATAAATATCATAAGCTATAAATCAAATATGAATGAGAATTTTTGAAAGTACCAAATTCTGACCTAATTATTTTCAGAGATTCAAACCTAAAATTCTCTAAGCTCAAGCAATATAAATGAAATCTATGGACATGTACAGCTTCAGGGCAATGATGTCTACATTTTATCTTCATAAATGCAAGCCTAACAATGCCTAAATAAGAAGATATAAGTTCAGAAAATGTACCTCAAAAATGGAAATCATGAAATGAGTTTGAGCTTGATTCATAGTGTTGTAATGATCAGGTTAGCTTCCTCAAGTTCCCAGGAAGCTAATGCAATGATTAGTTTGAGCAATGGATGGCTGGAATGGATTGGAGAAGTCAACTTGCAATGCTCTGTTTTTGGTTATGGAGTTTGATGAAAATGGTGTTACAGTTCTGGAATAAGGATGGGGATGGACTATAATTGATGTGTAGGAGCTTTTGGAAGTGAAAAGGCCAAGAAACGCACGAGGGAAATATGAGTTTGGAGTTCAAGGTTAGAAACTGTGCAATAATGGAGCTTTTGGGCAATTTATGGTTTGAGGGAGTTTGGAGTGTTTCAGGGTGTTAATGCTTGTGTCTTAGCTCACAAATAGTGACTATATTTATAAGCAACAAGTTTGGAAGCTTGTTGTTGATCAGAATTCAAAAATAAATGTTTAAACTCAACATGTGATTTTTTAGAAATCCAAGTTTCAATGCCTTGTGTACTTGCTAATGTAGAGTGGTTATGCTTTAAACAAGTTTGCTTTTGACTTTGTAGATGGAGTGTGATCAGAGGGAACAAATTAGAGGCTCAAGAATTGACTTTGTGCATAAAGCTTGCTTTTCAAGAATGGCATTCTTCACTTTCTTCCCAAAATGGCAATGTGAATTGGATAAAGCTTAAACCACTTGGATTATAGCTCAAAAGTTTGTGTAATCCATTAATGATGGATAGATACACAACTTAGAAGGCCTTCAAAGCAAGATTATGCAGCCTAACATTGAAATTGAGTTATGTGTTCATCAAGAAATGACTTGTAATTCAAGAATGAAACCCTAACTTCTTGCCTTCGATTCTCCTTGCTCAAGTATGATCTCAATGAATTCTTAGACATTTTAGAAAGCTTGTAACATCCTCTACAACCTCATATTGGACATTTTTGAAAATTCATATTGTAACTATGTTAAAATTTGTCATGAAGTTAGGTCAAAATTCTGCCTAAACTAGGGCAAATTTCCAGTAAGTTTCCAAGTTTCATGAACATGTCTTCACAAAATCATAACTTGAAATACATGCATTTATAGAAAAGTTGTGTTCTACAATGTTTTATATATCATTGATATCTACAAATTTCATGTTGAAAGTTTCCTTTTAATCATCTTGCATCATGGTGGAAATTTGGCTCAAAGTTATGAAAAAATATAAATTTTCCAACACTTAGAAAAATTTCTAAGTTTAGAAATTTTGACTTTTCAAAATGAAATCTTGACTTTTTATTTCTTGATGAACAAGTTTCATATTTTGACATGTCTTGATGAATTGTGATCTTTGATACTTGATTTTGACAAAAAAGTCAAAGTTTGACTTTTCATTAGTTGACTGAAATTCAACTGTCAATCAATCAATCTTAAGAGATGTTTTGAGTCATGCCAATAGGTCAAAATTAAGTATTTGAAACCTTGAGATCATAACTTAAACCAATCAAACATTTTCTTGGTCAAAAATCAGAAATTGCACCTTCTCAGTCAAAACCCTAATTTTGACCATTTTGCCCTTTTGATGATCTGATCAAATTTCTTGAGGAATTTTGATCAAAACTTGATCAAATGACATATATGAGTTCATAATGTTGATATGGATCAAAAATTATGAAGTTTGACTGTAAATTGACTACAGTTGACTTTTCCCCCAATACAGTTGATTTTAGGTTAACTGGTCAATTGACTGAGCAAAAATGTGATCCAAGACTTGAAACTTGACATGAGCAATCTTGAGGGTCCAAAATGATCCATAGAAGTCATATGGGGCATTAAAATTCCATTTGTCCTTGTGCAAACTCAAACCCTAATTTTCAGTCATCAGTGCTTGAGGAGGTGTCTTTAGTTGATCAACCCTTGTGCAGTCTTAAACCAAAGGAGATCTTGTGAGAGATTACTTGAGAAATGAGAGGGAAAATTTTGGGGTACAACACCTAGGCTGCGATGAATATGCAAAATATGCGTCATTAGCTTACTATGTTAGTCGCAAAGCGTTAGCGAGTCAAATTTCTAACTAATATTGTTTACTCTGTAAATGCGATATAGCTTGTTGCATCAATCTTAATGCAGCAATAAGTTATCAATTTTTCAACTTGTGTTATTTACCTACTACTAGGTTTTGGTAAATACGCAAAAATCTGTGATCTCTTTTCTAGGTATTGGCGAGTTATCTGCGTCGTCATATCTAAGTCAATTTTACTTTTTGCTCTAACTCTGGTAGGACGATACGTCATCATCTTTGCCTATCTCTTTATCCAAAATATGGTACGATGATACATCTTCGTCTTTGCCTATTTCTTTGGGCTCTTGGGTATGCTATATTAGTGTATCCTTATTTAATAATCTTTGTTCCAAATTTTGGGGTCTTCCTTTATTTAATAAATCTCTTATTCGAATGTACGAGACCTGTGTATTCTTCCACCCTCAATCCAAGAATAATTAAATAGGGGCAACTGTCATAGCCCAAAATTTGCCCGTCTTGGCGTTGCGGTCAAAATTAATTTCAAACTTGGATTTTTTTGAAATTCTTTTGATTTACATTAATATTTTGTGGTTTTATAAATATTTGTTCTCAAGTCCAGTTAAAAATATAATAATTTATTAAAAATTATTTGTATTTTTAAAATAGCAAATATCTGCACACCTTTCATATACTTTCAATTGAGTTTATTTACAAATGAGTAACATAGCACAATTGGTAAAGAATGAAGCTTGCAAGTATGAGGTCGTGGATTCGCATCTCTTATGTCTCACTTTTAACATTTTCTTTTTCTATTTTTTGTTACTAATTTTCTTTCTTTTTTTAGAGATCAAGCTTTGAGCTTTACATTCATTTTGGATAACTTACTAGCTAAGTTTTTTAAACCTAATTCAGGTCTAAAAATAAGACTCTTATTTGTCCTAAATTTTCATCAACAATTTTCATCCACAATTTCGTTATCTCATTTCTTTCTCTCACTTCTGGTTGATTCTAGAGTTTCTGAACAGAAACTCTGAGAAACATATTCAGAAATCCACAATTCCACAATCATCAAAAATTCAAACTTTTGTTTTGGTTTATTACAGAGTTTTTAAACAGAAACTCTGAAACTCTGTTGTTGTCTATATCAGACAATAACCAACAAATAGCCGATGATTTCATATGAGGTCTCTCTTATTATTTCTTTAATTTTTGTCTTTCTTTTTTATTTTAATTTATTTATTACTTTTACCATATGATAATAATTACTGATGATTTTATTATTTCACTAATACTTCACATCACAAAAATCCTTTTTCACTCACAGGAAAACCTTCTTGTACATATTTTTCTACACTAATTCATAGTACATGTGAAAACATAAAACACACAACTGATTCACAAATTTTAACACTTATAATAACGTTTCACATGTCAATTCTTCACATACTACTAACACACCTATTATGTACAAAATTTTCCACAATCTACAAATAAACTTGCTTTTGTTACAAACCATAACTTTACACAAAAACACAATTCCAAATATATTCATCAATCCAAACCAACAATACAAGCCAGTGAATTAAATTAGAAAAGTTGTGGATACAAGCATTCACAAAACTCATAAACAGAAGCAAATTAAGTGGTAAGAAGAACTTAGAAATTGACTCTTCATTCACTCTAACGCCAACGCTCAAACCTCCGTGCTCATCTCCCGTTTCCATCGTACACCGCCAGTTCAGCCACCATGCTCCAGATCGCCGCATCTGCCGTTCCCCGTCTTGCCACCGCTCGACCCAATCTGTGATAGCCTCTGATCATGCAACCAACCTTCATGCGACCGCAACTTCTGCAGAATCGCACTCACCGCATCTTGCTACTCACCGATGTAGCGCCCCATGAGTCTAGGTGTCTTACATCGTCACACACCTGCCTCTGATTGCACAACATCTCGAAGCGACTCCCCAACCGATGCTCCACCGTCCACCTGGGAATGCAAAATCACCGGCAACAACCTATCTAGTGTATGCCTTCTGCGACGTATATCACTGCCTTAGCCAAGTTCTGTTTCTCTTCCTTTTTCTCTATTTGTTTTGTGAGTTTATGTCAATGGAGTTTTGATTTTTATTTTGGTTAGAAAAAAGAAGATAGTCTTGAAAAAGGTGTTTGGTTGTTGTTTTGTTTGTTTTGATAAGCTTTCATATGTCATGATTTTTTATTTAGTTTTTAATCCATGGACACATGTCAACCTGCTATTAGATAATGTATTTCATTTGAAAATGGCCAAGAACCCCCTCACAAATGAGACGTCGATGTTGGTTGCTGGGTGTTGTTTTTTTTTCTGTTTTTTTTTATTAGTTTAATATTTAGAGTTTCGGTTGAGTTTGGGCCTTGGGCTCATCATTTCCCTAATTCCTGCAACCCTAATTTTACTAACCTATTCAAATAACTTATCCCCCTGCGTTTGGGGCTGAATTCAACATCTGAGTTTATGGCCCTACTACCTATATCTCCTGTTTTGCTAGCCCGACACAATTTACACACCCCCTGCATTTTTTCAATTTCTTTTATTATTTATAATTACTTTTTTATATATTTTAATATATTTATAAATTTTAATATTATTTCATTATTATTATAAATCAAATATTTATTTTCTAACTCATCAAAATATTTATTTTATTGCATTAAAATTATTTTAATCATGCATTAATAAGATATTTTTATACATTAATACATTAAAAAATACTTAACCAAATCTAAACTCTTTTTTTTAAATCAATTAAACTCAACAATCAATTTTCAAAAAGGATTACGAAAATATTTTAATCGACTACGCACTTCATCTAATAACTCTGCTATTCACACACTCAAACTAAGTACAAGGGGAATTCAAGTATCTTCGCAATCCATAAAAAATACCAACCAAACTGCGAACTACGAATTGGGACTCTGATTCCTCATAAGAGGATACATAGGCATACGACTAAAATCGTGGCGAGTTCCCCTAATAAAAAACTAAAACTCAATTCCTTAAAAATTGCGGTTATAAACCCTAGTATCCTTGTGAACAAGGTAGATGAGGGGTGCCTAACACCTTCCTTTCGTCTAAGAACGAATCCAACGACTTAGAATCTCTGTCCAAATTAGGATTAACCTTTATATTCCCTTCCCTAGGATAAAAATTAAGGGTGACGACTCTCAATTTAAAATCGGTTACAACAGGTGTTTAGTGTCGATATTGCAAGTAGATTCATGGAGAAATCAAAGGTTTCTCATTTGGAAGTAGTTAAGAGGATCCTAAGATACATAAAAGGAACTCTTGGTTGTGGAATTCTCTTTGCCAAAGTGATACGGGAAGAAATTGTGAGTTACTCGTTTATACGGATTTCAATTGGTGCAGAGATAAGGATGATCGAAAGTCGACGGTTGGTTATGTCTTTATGTTTTTCGGAGCTCCAATCTCTTGGTCCTCAAAAAAGGAACATGTGTTTGCACTCTCTTCTTGTGAAGCCGAGTATATCAGTGTGTCGATGTGTGCATGTCAGGCTGTGTGGCTTGTGAATCTGTTGAAGGAGATGGGCAGCAGTGCAGAAAAAGTTGTCACGCTTTTGGTTGATAACATTTCAACCATTAATCTTGCAAGAAATCCCATAGCACATGGGAGAAGCAAGCATATAGATATGCGTTTTCATTACTTGAGAGAACTGATGTGTACAGGTCAGCTCAAATTAGGATATTGTCGAAGCGAAGAACAACTTGTGGATTTGTTGACGAAAGGCGTGACAAATGATGTGCTCAAGAACCTTGTGAGGAGTTTAGGTATGAAGAATGTTAAGCATTTGAATTAAGATGGTGTATCGGAAATTTAGATTAATTCAAACGCATTATAGTAGCTTATGTGGTCGCTTCGAGCAAACAGCTTATCTGGAAAAGCACTTCTGAAAATCTGGAATTTGGGTTTCGAAGAAGAAACTGGTTTCCCAGTTTAAGAAAACCGGTTTATGTCACGTGTTTCAGTTCTGGGATTTTCCACTCAGTTGGAGAAATTAGTTTTCAGGTTTTGGGAAACCAGTTTCTGGCACGATATTTTGTTTTTCCTGTTGTTCTGTGAGACAGTTTTGTTGGTTAATGTTTTTTTTATCTTATAAATACCTCTTCTAATGTGTAATTATGAAATTTACGAGTTTAATGTCATTTTTAATTTTTCTCCTCAATTACTCTCTATCTCTCATAATCGCCAATTCCTCTCTTTAAACTTCATCTTTTTTAATTAACCACTTTCTTCATTGATTCACCAATTTAATTTTTTTGTGTGTTCCAACATTTGTATTTATTGTTGTCAAGTTGTTTATATTTTTTATTTATTTTTGTTTATTATAACAAAAAAATATTAAATTTGACGTCAAAAATATAAATATTTTAGTAATTTTCAATTTTATTGTTCTTAGTTTTTTTTAATTAACAAGTTTTAATAAGTTTAACACTAAATTTTTTTGTGTAATAACCATCACTTCTCCTACTAACTCCCATTACTACTTCTTCTTATATTGTTTTTTTATGTATTTATTAATTATTTTCTATTTTACATTTACTTTTTAAGTATAAATCATTAATATTATTTTAATTATAATGTAAAAACTCTTTAAAAAATATTTTCATAATTATTTTGATCGAATATGTATAGTATTTTAAAAAATTATAATTATATATAAATTTAATTTCTTTTTAAATGATGAACATATTATATTAAATTTATTTAGACATGTTTTTGTGACTAATTTAAACATGTTATTAATTATTAGATATACTATTATAATATTATATAGTGAATGACCAACTTGTCGTATGGTTTTAGTACAACAAACATGGATGATGAAAAGGATACGATGTCTTGCATGTCTGTCTCAGGTCAAAAGACACATACCTCTCTTATCCTAACTGTTAAACTCCTAAACGAACCCTTAATATTTGGCCTGAATTATGACTTCAATTGATGCTAAGAAGACATACTGATTCTGGTTACACGTTTTGTTTGTGAACATGAAAGTTCAAATAATCTAGGTGGGCGACACAATAATAGAGTACTGATTATATGTTTCAGAATTTTAAGGAAACATGATGAGATTGCACTTGTTGGAAAGATCTATAATCAATTAAAAGACACATTAATAATTGGCTAATAAAGATTAGAACAATGAACAAGGACCACAAGAGGTTCAAGACATGAAGGGGCCACGGAGCAGAAGGAAAGGCAAGATGGCCAGCATTTTAATGCACGGCAAGTTGATCTTATATGAACAAGAATCTTGTATTTGTTGTTATTTCACGTGAAGTCACTTGTTAATGTCAAAATTTGTGATTTATAACGTCCATGAATTCGTTACTGCTTACAAATTGTTATGTCAAGTATCAAGTATCAAATTTCGGGAGACTCAAAAGACATTTCATTATTTTTTTATATGTATATAATACTGTTAGGCACGCGATAACATAAATGTTTAACAAATAAGTAATTGTTTTTATATTATGCCCCCAATCAAAATAAATTGTTGTCTCTACAAATCATGGTCTCACAAATGACATACACTCTAGTCTAACAAAAATAAGCATAATAAACAACAACACTCCTTACTTTTTATCACATAGAAGTATAAACTAATTTTTTTTAATAAGTAATACTATAGAACAAACTACTGTTATACTCTCTTATTTATTACTATGGATATTTATTTATTATTTTAAATTCTAAATTTTCTTTGAAAATATATTTAACTTTTAATAAAAATTTCATTTACTTAATTTTTTATTATTATTATTATAATTGATAGTCAATTCACATGTAATTGAATATTTGTTTGGCTTAACAATCTCGTTCGAATAAGCAAAAAGCCTGATTCATTTCCAATATACTCTTGAAATGTAAAATCATAAGTAAAAGTGGATAGTCCGAAAAGAAAGATCCGAAAGTAAAATTGAAACAATATCAAATTTGTATTATTTTTAACTATTAAATTTTACTATTATAAATTTATTTTTCTTCTCAAAATATAAAAACACGTTGAAATCAATTATAGATAATAAATTTTGGTTTTAATTTTTTTGATATACAATAATATAATTTTCATAGTTCTTTTTGTTTTTTATATATACTGTAATAGTTTATCTTTTATATATTTATTTATCTTTTATAGATATTTTTAATAATTTATGTTGATCTCACTTATAAAAATTTCTAGATCCGTCCATGTTATTTACTCTTTTAACATTTATTTTATACTAATTGAACTATCTGATATTAATGTATTTATTTTTGCAGTGTCGTGAGATATTAAAATGTATAAATTATGGTAGGAAAATTTAAAAAAAAATACCACAAAACAAGATGAGCATTGGACGTATTTGACATATTTGGTATGAAGGACTTCTGTGGGATTATATATGGTTATATTGAATATGGTCTATTGTCTGCATTTGTTGAGTAGAGATGGAACGAGGAGACGTCGTCATTTATCTTCCGATTAGTGAGATAACTGTTGGAACAAGTTTGATTCGTCAACTAATCCTTGAAGTTTTGATGATAACAAGTACATTTGCATAGAGAATAATTTTGTACTCTAACGATTTGTTTAAGTGTGCAAATTTTATTCATAGATTATGGACTCCGAGTATGCAAGTTGTGAACTCTAGACAAGTTAAGTTCTGGATTTTGAATAAAGCAACTCTGGACTCTGGGATATCAAAACGCACTCTGAATCCTTGAAGAAAGAGCATTTACAGTGGCAAATCTACTTCTACAAATTATCAAGTCATCTACTGAGCGAAGATTATCCAGATTGACTCTGTTAGCTCAAGAACCTGAAGACTCGATATTTCCCAGAGCATAAAAGACTTACTCTAATCAAGCTCCACCTCAATCTATCAGAAGCCTCTAACTTAAGTGGTTTGAACTGAAGAAAGTTAGTAACTCTATCTGAAAGAGATTACAACGAAGGAAGATAGTGTGAAAATATAAAAATAGTATAAATCATCATCATTTTCACTACCTTGTGTTAATATTTATTATAGTTTAGTAGTGCCTTTTAACTCAATTCATTGCACATTCATGTTAAAACCTCAACTTTATTGTAAATAATAGCTTTATAATTGTATCATGTAAATATTGTATAGATTAATCATTTTTTTCCTTATTTTGTAGAATTGTTCGCATTATTGAAGCATTGAGCATTTTGAAAGACAAATAAAGCTTCAAGATGAAATTTTTGGATGGAAATAAAGAGCTACAAAAATCGATGTCTCAAAGATATAATATGGTAGAACTCTCATTGGTGCTTCAGACATGAACACTAATGTGAGGGATACGTGATGATATTGACTAATATTTTAGATTGCGTATAACTAATCGGTAAATTTAAGTATTTGAAGGGTAGATGAAATATAATCCTGGAGAGTTCTCTCCTCTCTAAAGAATGCATTATTTACTTGTTCATACATTTTACTTTTCGCATTTTACGTTTTTAAACCATTCAAACCAAGCTTTAAAACACGGAGACTATTGAGCGGCATTCGATACCTCACATTAATCCCTGTGGAGACGATAAAACAAAATACTTACTTTTACTTGTTGTTTTACTGCAACAACAAAATGACGTCGTTGTCAGAGATTGGTGTTTAGATATTGAAAGCATTGCAATAATTTATATAATTTTGAGCTTTGCACATATTGTCTATATTGTATTTATACTTGTATATTTATACTTTTATATTTACTTGTCTATGCTTTCCATACTTGTATATTTGTACATGTTTTCCATACTTGCCTATAGTTTATATATTTTCTTTGTACATGTTTTCTATACTTGTGTATATTGTATATATTTTGTTTCCCTTCACGTTTACTAAAGTGATTTGTTAGGAGTAGTCGTTGGTAAACAACTAGCCAAGCAAAGAGGTAACATGAAAGAGAATTTATGCATAAATAAAAGTGTCGAGCTAACGACGTAAAACAAGCGTTTGTTGGGAGGCAACTCAACGTTTATAATTTTTTTATAGTTTTGCACTTACTAGTATAGGTAGTGTTTGGTGAAAGTGCATGAAATGCATGTCATTTTGGTGTGTCTTGGAGTTTTTTACCACATACCTACTTGTGCTGAGTGCAGTCTGTGAGCGCTAAGCATGCCCTGAAAATCTGCTCGCGCTAAGCGCACTCTGGTGTCGCTAAGTGTTCCCTGTTGAGCTAGTCAAAATTCTTTTCACTCGGTCCTTTTACCCACTTTCACCCAGACCCTTTAGAGTAGTAAATAGTAATAGTTAATTTTTAATATTTTTATTTGTTGTTTGTATTCAAAGATTGGTCTAATTATTTGAAGAAGTATGGAGTAATTTTTCCATGTTTGAATGTTTCAACATGCAAATATATGGTAATGATAGTGTTTGAAGTCGGTACAATGCAATGTACATGTTTAAGGCTTCTATAACATATCATGAATATGAAACTTGTAATTTGTACAAATATCATGTCATTCATTCTTTTGCACTACTTGTTCATTTTTTAATCACTTTAGAACAAAGCCTAAATGTGAGGAGCTTTCTGTTGCTTACTATATACACAGGAGACAAACAATCCTTATTTTAACTCAATTTTATTAAGTTTAATCTTGCATTTGTGTTGATTTGTTTGAAAGCTTAAAAAGGATCAAGGCATTTTTTTTAAATGAGCAAAACCATCTAATCAAAAGTAATTTACCTTTTGAGTGAGAAAGAATTTGCTAACCTCTTTTGAGCGTTTTGTTAGGATGTATCTTGGTGTTGAACTGTGAACTTGTGCATGAGTAACTAAATCATCATGGATTCTGATTTTGTTTCAAAAGCACTTGAACCATCAACCATATATTATGGTTGGAACTTTTTCTTGTCTTAGACAGTTTGAGAGCATTCATGTCACGATGTTTAGTTGTATTCAAGTTGGGGAGAAAAATGATTGGTTGCTTAAAGGTCGGTTGCTAAGAGGTTAGAAAAATAAAGTGGTTGAAAAAGAAAAAGAAAAAAAATATGAAAAAGAAAATAAATAGAAAGGAAAGAGAAAAGAAAAACTAATAAGATGAAGGTTGTAACAAATGGGCAAAGAGAAAAGGGTGAATAATATTTTTGATTACTTGAAAATGTGGGAAGTGATTGCTCTCAAAAGTTTAGGCAATTTTGTTTCATTGGCCTTTAGATATGACTCATCTTTGTTACCCAAGCTTCATTTCAACCCTTGAAAGTCCTTGTGATTTATGCTTTGATGCTTTCAACATGAGTTTTTTTGGATGCATGCATAATATAGTTTGATGTTAGCAATAATTTTGGGTGAGAGTCAAGTCTAACATGTTTATTTTTCATCTATCGATGAAGTTGTGTGCTAGGTGTGATTCATTTTTTAAGATGTATTTTCTTAGAATTTTTTATATGTGTTTTGTACTTAGAATTTGTTTCATGTTCATGGTGTTGTTGTAGTATAATGGTAAGCATTACATTGTTTGTGCTTTTTGATTTTGAACTGTACATTTGTTTTCGATTCTCAAAACTTGTTGATTCATGATTTCTTGGTCGTTGCTTTTGTTTCTTTAGGTTTGTATGACTTTTATTTGAGGACAAATAAAGTTCTAAGTTCGAAAAAGTTGTTAGGGGCCAAATTGTTTTAATATTTAGTATAGTTTAGTAGTGCCTTTTAACTCAATTCATTGCATATTCATGTTAAAATCTCAACTTTAATGTAAATAATAGCTTTATAGTTATATCATGTAAATATTGTATAGCACTACAAGAAAATCACCATTTAGCTGTAATTTATTAGCGTCGGCCCTGACAACGACACTAATAACTTGCTATTACGGCGGCATACGCCAACGCTAATTGAATATAGCCACTTGTTTTATTTTTTTATTAGGACATTAATAATGGTGTCGGCCAAAGTCGAAATTGATGGGAGAATTTCGGCCTCTTTTTTATTAATTTTTTATTTTAATAATAGCGACAATTTCGGCCGACGCTAGTATTAATGCCAAATAACTCCATTTCCCTCTCAATTTCGTTTGCCTCCTTATTAACTATTGTGTTAAATAAATATTAATTTTTAATATTAGCGACGATTTATGCAGACGCTGATATTAGTGCTAAATAATTTCATTTCCCTCCACCAATTTCGTTTGCCTCCTTTTTATTTATTGTATTAAATAATTAATTTTTAATATTAGCGACGATTTGGACCGACGTTAATATTAGTGCCAAATAATTTCATTTGCCTCCACCAATTTCGTTTGCCTCCTTTTTATTTATTGTATTAAATAATTATTAATTTTTAATATTAGCGACGATTTGATCCGACGCTAATATTAGTGCTAAATAATTTCATTTCCACACCAATTTGGTTCATATTTTATTGTTTCAAACAATTTGTTAGTAGATTATTTTTAACTATAAAATAAAAAACCAAATAAAACTAACTAAAATTAAATTTATAAAACAAAATTTAAATTTTATAAAATCAAATCAAAAATATATTAAACTCAAATTGATAAAATAAAATCAATATTTTAAATTAGTAAAGTAAAATTAAATCTCAACTAAATTAATAAAATTTAATTAAAGTTTAACTTATAAAATAAAATGAAAATTATGTATTGACAAAATAATAAAATAAAATAAAAAATGAATTAAAATGTATTTAGTAAAATAAAATTAAAATAAAATAAGTAAAATATTATAAATTAGTAATTAAAATATAATCAAAATCTATTTACTAAAATGTATTTAGTAAAAATATAATAAAAACATAAAGTAATTAGTAAATGTAATTAGAATTGTAAAGTAAAAACAAAAGAAAAAAATCTTTTCAGCTTCTCAGAGAAGCAGAAATCGTTTAATCTCTTTTCGATTCATACGGAAATCATCGTTTAGCAATCGTTTCAGACGGAAATCATTTCATCTCCAGATTGCAATCGCGTCTCAAAATCATTTCATCATTTCATCGTTTCATCGTTTCAGGTTACAAGGAATCGCTTCTCAAAATCGCTTCAGGTTGCAATCGCTTCTCAAAATCGCTTCAGGTTGCAATCGCTTCTCAAAATCGCTTCAGGTTGAAATCTTTTCATCATATTTCTTTTCAAAATTGTGTTTTCGATTCTTCATTTCAATTCTTCATTTTGATTCGTCTGTTAGATATTGATTGATCTGATTTTAGTTTTGTTATCCACAAGAGTTGCTCGATGCTTGTTGTGTTTCTCATTTTTCATAATCTCCTCTTCATTGATTCATCGTTTTGCATTTCATGATAATCTAATTGTTGTTATATGATTCAGTAGTTTTATTTAGTTTCAAACTATTAAGAACATCTATATCTGAAAATGTGCAATCAATTTTGTAATGATCAGTTTTTTATGAATTGCTTTGTTATTCTGCTGTGAATTTGTGAATTTAGATTCAGTAGTTAATTAGCCCTAATTCCTAACCTAATTTATTTTTTCTGTTAATTTTTCAGGTTGTTGAAGCTAATCATCCAGGGAAACCAAATGTTTCTAAGGTAATTTTTATTTATGTGTTTTATTAATTTAAATTATAAGGATTAAACTAATATTAAGGCTTTTATGATCTTAAATTAGTAATTGAATATTTCATTTTTAAGTGTTTATTGATTTGTTGATTGGAAATTACATAATCAAGTAGTGAGTGTTTATTAATTTGTTGTTGTTGTTGTGTGGCGAATAGGCTGAGCTTAAGGAAAAACTGGCAACTATGTATAATGTGAAGGACACTAACACTGTGTGGTGAATTTCGTTTTTGGTACCTTCCGTTAACTATTATCTAGTAAGCACTTGCAGTTTAGTTGAGTTTTTTGTGGATGTAGATGTTAAATGCATGTAGGTTCACTTGTTGATAACTTGATATGAAATTATGAATTTCCTATGGTAGCAAGTATGTGAATATAAGTTGGATAAGTTTGTTTTAAGCTGCTTTAAGTTTGTTTCCTGTAGGTTCACTTGTTTTAAGTTTGTTTCCTCTGGTGCCATTTTTTTACTGCCAAGACTATCACTCAAAGTCATAGAACCATGCACATTTATATAACTTTTGGTATCAAATTTGAATTAGCTCGCTTGCAAAATGGTTTGTGTGAAATTGAGTTTTACAATCCGTTTGTGTAAAATGGTATCAAATTTGAATTAAATTGCTTGCATAATTTGTCGCAGGTCCACAATCGGTTGCTCCACCACTTTGTTTCTCTTCTTCTAAAGCCAATTTCAAGGTAAAATCATTATTTCTCTTTTTTATATCGTAATTTACAACTATGAGCATCATGAGGATTTTGAAATTCATGATTTGGTTAAGCTTAGATTGTGTATAAGGGGTAGTATCTTACCAATGAACTGATCAAATTAAAAATTATCTTGGTCAGATATGTTTGTATTATCTATTCAAACTTTATTCGTCTCAAAACATATGATAAAATTATGACGAGCACGGTTGAACCCGATGAAGAAGTAAATGATTTTGTCTGATCTATAATATTATTTGTGTTTTCCTTATATTTTTATAAACATTGATATATTATGCTTTTGAATTTGGTTTGACTTAATGTATTATTTTATGTCCATTGTTATAATTTTGGGTTTAAAAAGAGTTTCTGAAAAATTATAAGGGTAGCAGAAAGTATTTTACTAAGAATTAGAATACTTGAATATTGTGGCGTATCTAGGACACTGACCCGGGGTGTGCAATAAAAATGCAATTTAAGGCCTCATGGGCCAGTAGTGCAAAAACAATAAATTCAGGGGTTTAAAATGCAAAATATATAGGGGTATATGTGCATTTCATAAAAGTTATTGAACCCCTTCAAAAGAGCTAGGCCTAGCTAGAACCCTGCTTCAGATGTGAGCTTTTTAGTATTATTACACGAGTTATCAAATAACAATTTGTAATTTTGATATTAGTATGGATTATTGTGTTAGAACATAGTTTGATTCTACAACCCTTAATTAGAGTTTTGATGATAACAAATACAAAGAACAAATATGCACCCTAAAAATTATGTTATTTTGTATGCAGAAGTTCTGACCAAAGCAGCATCAGAAGTTAAGCTATAGAAGTTACACGCTGAGGTAATCAGAATTTGCGCTGAAGAATGATGATCAGAACCTGCGCTTAAGTGAAGTAAACTATGATTCTGAACAGAAGGAATATAATATAAGGCATCAATGTTCTGAAGCATCAGCAGCAGACAAGGATGTAAGATTCTGAAGCGTTACTTTACAATCAAGACAACATCAATTACAGCGGCTTCTTTCAGACAGGATCTTCTCAAAATGGAAACTGCGTTAATGACCATTATCACGCTTAAAGTTGGACAGAATTCCATTGCCTATAAATACAAGCTAAGAGATCAAATCGTTCATGATTTGCCAACGCAACTGTAATACAATTCAAAAACGCTGCAAGCTTTCTCTAGTATTTTTCCATGCTCTAAAATTGTGTAAATTATCACAGTTGTGATAACTGTTTTTGTAACGAAAAACATCTACACTGAATTCTTGTATCTTTGATTAAGAACAGTCTTTCCTTGAGATTAACCGGATTATGGTTGTACTCAAGAAGACTTTGACAGTTGTCAAAGTAGTGATTGTAATCTATTTATGATTAGTGGATTAAGACCTCGTTGGAGATAGGCGAAATCATCTTGACGGGTGGACTGGATTAGTTTGAGATCAAACGAACCAGGATAAAAATACCGTGTCTTTGCGCATTTGATTTCAAGTTTTCAATTCGACCCCCCCCCCCCCCCCCCCCCCCCCTCTTGTGTTTTTCACTTCTTCAATTGGCATCAGAGCGCCTGGTTCTAAGTTCATACACTTAACCGTGTCAGTACAAGATCCAAGCTTCAGAAAAACACTATGGTGGGACCAAGCCAAAACATCAGCAATGACTGTCATGAAGACAAAGACAAAATCAGTGGCAAACCTCCAGTTTTTGATGGAGAAAACTTTGACTACTGGAAAGACATAATTGATAGCTTCTTTCTGGCCCATAATACTAATCTATGGGACATGGTAACTGATGGATACACACATCCAGTGGATGGAAAGGGTCAGAAGATAGACAGAAAAATGATGTCTGACCAGCAGAAACGTGACTTCAGAAATCACCATAATGCCAGAATAATACTTCTCAGTGCTATCTGATACTCAGAATATGAGAAAATCTCAAACAGAGAGACAGCCAAAAATATGTTTGACTCTCTGAGAATGACGCATGAAGGCAACATTCAAGTCAAAGAAACCAAATCCCTTGCACTCATTCAGAAGTATGAGGCATTTAAGATGGAAGATAGTGAATCCATAGAAATAATGTTCTCAAGATTCCAGATCCTTGTTGCTGGGCTGAAAGTTCTTGACAAAGGATATTCTACTGCTGATCATGTAAAGAAGATCATCAGAAGTCTACCCAAGCAATGGAGGCCAATGGTCACAGCACTTAAGCTAGCCAAAGATCTCAACAAGATATCTCTGGAGGAACTTGTCAGCTCCCTCAGAAGTCACGAGATAGAGCTTGAAGAAGATGAGCCTCAAAAGCAAGGTAAGCCACTAGCTTTAAAATCTAACAGAAAATATGACTCTAAGGTTTTATAGGCTATGGAAGAAACCTCTGATGGATCCTCATCAGAAGAAGATGAGTTGTTTCTCCTCTCCAGAAGGGTGAATCAACTGTGAAAGCAGAGACAAAGGAAATTCAGAAATCCTAGAAGATCAGAGAATCAAAATGAATCCTCTTCCAGATACATAAAGTCTCAGTCTTCCTTTGGACATAGAAGATCTGAAGGCTCTTCAGGACACAGAAAGTCAAATAACAAGGACATCATCTGCTATGAGTGCAATGAGCAAGGGCACTACAAAAGTGACTGTCCAAAGCTTCAGAAGGAGAATCTCAAAAAGAAGTTCTTCAAGGAGAAGAAGAAAATCCTCATGGAAACATGGGACAATTCAGACACTTCTGATGCTGACTCGGAGTCAGATGATGAAATAGCAAACATAACTCTAATGGCAAACGTATCAGAAGACAATGAAGCTTCTGGTTCAGACTCAGAATCAGACACTGAAGAGGTATTCCCTAACTTTGCTATTAATTTCACTAAATTTGAACTTGCAGAAAGTATAAATGAAATTCTGGAAAGGTATCAGCAAATCAGAGTTAAATTCAAGAACCTGAAAAAGGAACTTGTCTCTGACTCTGAAAAGACTGAGAGTCTCAGATTAGAAAATTCTGAGTTAAAAGAAAAAATTTCAAAATTAGAAAACGATTTGCAAAACTCTCAGAAGGAAATAATCTCAGAGACTCCCAGTAATGCTGATGAAATCATCAAAGAATATTATCACAGCTTTCAGAAGTTTCTGGCTAAAAGCATAGATAGAAGCAAGATGGATTCAATGATCTATGGAGTTAGCAGAAATGGCAGAAAAGGGATAGGATATCAAGGTAAGGTACCTACACCTAAGAAAGCCATGGACTTACTCATAAAATGCACACCACTTAAATCAAACTTCATATATGGGCACACACATGACCTAAATTACACTAGTCATAATTACTCTATCAAACCAAAATTCAACCAGAGTTTTGGTAAAACTAACAAACCAGGACCCAAGAAGATATGGGTATCTAAGGATAAAATTATATATGTAGCAAATATCTTTAGCAGCAAGGCTAAAACACCAGTCATGGTACCTGGACTCTGGATGCTGTCGACACATGACGGGAAGAAAGTATATGTTCTAAAGCCTGAAACTTAAATCTGGAGGCTATGTGGGCTTTAGAGGCAACCAAAGAGGAAAGATCATTGGCTCTAGAACAGTAGGTAATGGAAATCTTCCCTCTATAAATAATATGCTATTAGTTGATGGACTAATGCATAACTTGATATCCATAAGCCAATTAAGTGATAACGGTTATGATATAATCTTTAATCAAAATTCATGCAAAGTGGTTAGTCAGAAAGATGGAACTATCCTTTTTAATGGAAAGAGGAAAAATAACATTTATAAGATAAAACTTTATGAACTAAAGAGTCAGAATCTAAAATGCCTTCTTTCTGTTAACAACGGGCAATGGGTCTGGAACAGAAGATTGAGACATGTTAGTATGAGAAGGATATCTCAGATTAACAAACTCAATCTGGTCAGAGGACTTCCTAATTTGAAGTTTAGCTCAGATGCTCTGTGTGAAGCATGTCAGAAAGGCAAATTCTCAAAACCTGCTTTTAAATCCAAAAATGTTGTTTCCACCTCTAAGCCATTAGAACTTCTGCACATAGACTTATTTAGACCAGTTAAAATTGTGCCTGTCAGTGGCAAGAAGTATGACTTAGTGATCGTAGATGACTATAGTAGATGGACATGGGTAAAGTTCTTAAGACACAAGGACGAATCACACTATGTGTTCATTGCATTCTGTAACCAAGTTCAGAATGAAAAGGATCTTAGAATTGTCAAAGTCAGAAGTGATCATGGTGGAGAATTTGAAAATAAATATTTTGAATCATTTTTTAATGAAAAGGGCATCTTGCATGACTTCTCTTGTCCTAGAACTCCCCAACAAAATGAAGTTGCAGAACGAAAGAACAGAACATTGCAAGAAATGGCCAGAACCATGATCAATGAGACTAACATTGCTAAGATCTTCTGGGCAGAAGCAATCAACACAGTGTGTTACATTCAGAATAGAATCTCTATAAGACCTATTCTGGAAAAGACTCCATATGAACTGTGGAAGAACAGAAAACCCAA